TTTATCTTGGTAAACGTACGTTTTGGAAATGTTATTTCATTTGGAATTGGAGTTCATATGGCGATATGATTGTTTTGAATCTATGCTAAACTCTATATTGGCTCATTTTCCACCGAAATCCGATTGACTACTTTGATTTTAAATAAAGTGTTTAATTTTATGATTTGTCGCAAAAATTTTAAGTGTAGATTGGCGGCACTTAAAAACCGCGAAATCTGCAGCGGCGGTGGCGTTAATACGTAAGTACCGAATTTTTATTCCATACTTTTCTGAATCATATTACTTCAAACTTTAGAATATACAAGAAGTATACATAAACACATAATGTTATACCATTTAATTTTTCAAAAAAAGTATTTTGACAACAATTTTTATCAAAAAATTATAAACTATAAATCGGAAAATAAAGAATTCTTAGGATAAAAAACGATTTTAAGAATTCTTTATATTGAAATAAAAACTTTCATATTGTTTCTTTTTTTATTATTCTTATAGTTAATCAGACGTAAAAAAAACCATTCTGTAGAGAACTATAATCAAATAAAAAAAAAACATATTTACAAGCAAATTTTTTATTATAAAAATCATAACTCTCACCTGCTTTATAAATCCGCAGAATTCCAAATGAAATGTTCTTCGTTTGAAAATTTTATTTTCAAATAATATATGCATAGATTATCCCTTCATTACTTTTAGATAACATACCACACATCAAAATTTTACAAATGTAAGATCTCGATATGAATTTGAATATGTAGTTTAAAAACAGAATAGCTGATGATTTCTAGTTGAAATTATTCCATCAAAACTAAACACCAAGAAAACGATACAAACTTATTAATAATCAGCACAAATGAATCTATTTCAAGTAGTTCGGATGATTCTTTATTGTTGTTTTACGAATAATATAGATACAGAAATATATACTATCCTATAAAGAAGAACAATATTCTATAACTATTATACAGTTCTGTGCATATTCTGAATTCTTATTTATTCATTGGAATGACGAAAGCAATGCTGACTTCACTTTAATTTCTAATGAATTGAAGACAGAAAAAATTATTTTACCGTAATACACACAATCTGTAACAGCAAGTGATCATGAAATTGGAAGTTATGTTGTTGGTAATAGAAAGGTAAAAATTATTGAGAAAATGTTCTTCAAATGCTTGGCGTGTTCTGCTTCAATGTTTGACATGTTCTGGTTAGTTTTTTCAAGAAGTTCTACCTTTTCCTTAGGGAAATTTTGCTTCTTATTTGCTGCTAATAAAATGGCGTCTGTCATTGCCAATGGTTTTGTGGGAACTAATGTCCGATATTTTCAGTCTCCCGCTAGATGGCGTACTCGAGCGTTGCGATCGCGAATTGGCAATGACGGATGCCATTTTCTTGGCAACAAATAAGAAGCAAAATTTCCCTAAGGAAAAGGTAGAACTTCTTGAAAAAACTAACCAAATATTGAAGCAGAACACGCCAAACATTTGAAGAACAATTTCTCAATAATTTTTACCTTTCTATTACCAACAACATAACTTCCAATTTCATGATCACTCGCTGTTACAGATGTGTGTATTAAAATAATTTTTTCAGTCTTCTAGTTATTACGAATTAAGTGAAGTCAACATTGCTTTCGTCATTCCAATGAATTAAGTGAATTCAGAACTTACAGAACTGTAATAGTTATAGAATATTCTTCTTCTTTAATATTTCTGTATCTATATAATTCGGAAAACAACAATAAAGAATCATCCAAACTACTGGAAATAGTTTCATTTGTGCTGATTATTAAGAAGCTCCTATAATTTCACCTTTACTTGGTGATGCAAAAAAAGCAGTTTTCTACCAGTAACCGACGCTGCACATCAGTTTACCTCGTGCGCTGGTCGGTGATGCACGGCTCTACAATAATCTTAATTTCATTAAACTTTCTGTATTTTTATTTGTAATTCTTAATTATGTTTAAATTAAATTTATTCTTTAAATTTTAATTGGTAATTTGTTTTAATGTTTATAAAAACTTAATTTACCAAATATTTTAATCTACTTATTTGTTTCGCAAATGTTTGTTTTGATATTTCTTCGTGTTTCCTTATTTGACCTTAACTACATTTGGTGCAGAGGTTTTGAAGGTCACTGGAAGAGGTTTTGATGGTCTCTCCAAAAGGTTTTCTTCCACACGAGTCTCTCAAAAGTAATCGTAAATGAAGGTGGTCTTTCATGGAGGTTTCACCGCATTTTCTTTCTAGTTTTGAAATAATTTTGTCGGATTATTAGAATCAATAATTCTATTTTTATTCAATTTCCTTAAATATGTTTTGAAACTACGTCTAGTGAAGTTCAATAATTTGTGTTCTGGAGTGATCAAAATAATGGTAAAATTTCTATACTTACTCTATTTAAGCAATTTTTCTTATAGCAGGGCTTAGTTTTGAAGATTTTGATTTAAAAGATCATGCTAGGAGCTTTTAGAAATGGTGTCTTTTTTAAGCATGCGAAATTTGTATAGTTCAAAGTGAAAGAGGGGACTTAAATATATTTTCTTGTTTTAATTCTAGCAATTTCGAAAACATTCCATCGGATCGCTATATTTATATTAGAATGCTTTTTTTTAAATTTATATTAGAATGCTTTTTTTTAAATTTATATTAGAATGCTTTTTTAATCATTGAAAAGGGGAAAAAAGTTTTTAATTTCTTACTCTCATTTTGGTTGAGTCAAATTATACGTGGAAAAAATGACACCATTTTTAAAAGCTGCAAGTACGATCTTTCAAATTGTGATAATTGTTTTGTCATATAGAATCTACCAAAACATTTGCTGCTAAAAAATTTTTACCATAGAGTTACCAAAAAAAAATTTTTTTTTTACCATAATAACTTTTACGTTTGTTACCAAAAATTTATACCACTTTTTCTTAGCAGCAATTATTTTTCAAGATTTTCAACACAAGACTGTTGGTAGAGTTTGAAACAGCATGCTTGAAGCTTTTAGAAATGGTGCCCATTTCATTCATAGATTAAAAGTAGATGTAGTTATTTAATAGAAAGATCTAGCTCTTTGCTAATGTTGCCATCATTTTTACCATCATTACTGGCTAATTAGTAGAGTATTTTCTAATAAGCCTGATAATTTTCAGACTACAATCAATCCATTAGAAGTTAATCTTCTTTAAAAATTGAAGTTCTTTATCTCTTTCTATGATTCTTACACAGTGATTCCCAATTTCCCCCCCGCTATGATATCCTAAATAATTGACCTTCTATTGGCGGAATCCCTGGACTTAACGCTGCTTTTCGAAGCTTTGTTGCCAAGGTAAATAAAAAAGTCATAGTTTAAGTGCTTAACACTTGAAGCAATGCGATGATTTTAAACTATATATATTATCTTGCCATTAAGAACAATCTGGGCTTTAGAACAGATAAATGTCTTAAATATTTAAAGATATTACTTCTTTAACTTGTATACTTTCTTCTTTAACTCTAGATATAACTTCTTAAAAAATTACCAATTTGACGACATTTTTTCACTTAGATGAAAATTTTCAAAATTACTGACTTATTTTCAACTTTTGCAAATTTTTGGAACAATTGGGAGCACAAGTAATGCAGCATTGGAATAAGTTTTTAATTTTAAATATTAAAAAATGAGTCTACAAACGCTTTTCATTTTCATAAAACTGTTTCTATTCTCCATGTTGTCGTTTTTCGCCATTTTCAAAATAAGCGTGAAGACAACGATGGCTTTAACTTGACCTAACAGTCATTCATGAGTAACAGTTGCAAAATCACAGCAGTTATAAAAGTTGCATATTATTCGCAAAAAAGCATCATAGTCGATTTTTGGTTAGTATACTCAAAACAGTAGTAGCAATTTTGAGTACACTAACCAAAAATCGACTATTAATTATTTGGAAAATATTTAATAAATGAAATTTCATTAATTACTTTAAAAATATTAATCTTCAAATTGGGTTTTATGTCGGGAAGTTAACTTTACAGGTTTGGCAAACTAATCAAGCCCATAATTTGATTTAAGTGTATGCATAAACTTTAAATAAATGAGCTTAAACACTGTTTTCGTTGGGGAAGAAAAAAACGAAAATGGTAAAAATAAATGTCTAAAATTTTTATCAGCAAAAAATACTTCTGCATTGTTATTTTTATTTGATGCGAGGTACTCGAGCAATTTCTCATAAATGCATTCAATATATTGGTACAATTCAATATAATGTTACATTAATCATTCTATATGTTGTTACAAAAATTGTTATATTGTACAAAATCAAATTATATATTGTTTTTGTTCGCAACTATTTCACTTACATTTATAAAGATAATGGAAATGATAAATTAATAAGGATATTATTAATTAGATATAAATTTAATGACAGATTGCGAGAATCGAAACTGATTAAAAATGTCCTAACTGTCGGAACCCCTGTGACCCTTACACGGAACCCTAAGGTTCCGCGGAAAACTATTTCTAAACTGCTGTTCCAGGGTTAATTTAGTTTGATGAGTTGAACTTTTAAAAACTTTTTACTTAATTTAGAAACAAGATGTCATAGTGAATTGCAACAAATAATAATTAAAAAAAAAATTGAAATTTTTTTTCTCCCTTCCTTTTTTAACTTTGACAGCATCGACATTTGCCCATCCATTTTGTGCATGATTAATACCGATTTATTGATTGCTTAGCTTTTGTTCTTCACAATATGAAGAACGGGTATTCAGCTAGTATTCGAATAAAAATTGAAGCTCCATCTTGTTTACTAAAATTGTTTTTCTAAGATACGGTCTTACACTTCCTATAAACCAGTTTATAGGGCAGACATTTGTTTATTTTGTCATATTTTTAAGGAGGCTGGCTTCCTCTGTAAAGACGGGGGTCTTTCACGGTAGCTTCAAAATAGAGGAAAGGCGGAAATCTACAGCCATCTCCCGCTCAAAAAAAAAAAAAAAAAAANAAAAAAAAAAAAAAAAAAAAAAAAAAAAAAAAAAAAAAAAAAAAAAAAAAAAATAGATGAGGGAAAGGAGGTGAGGGGCGATGAAAGAGGAACAAGTCATCCCCCCCCCTTATTCTTTCCGGTCGGCCGTGAAAGAAAAAAGAACGGTGTACTCATCAAACCAGACACAAACACTTTGTACGCAGACCAAAGCAGACGACTTATAGCACTTACAGCAGACGATTTGGATATAACTCAAGGTTTTGCATACCAGCTACCTAATAGAGTTAAATATAACAGGTAAATTTTTTTAATTTATTCATTTTTTTTTTGCATTTGATTTCTATGGGTTTCAATTTTTAAAACCCATAAAATTTTAAACCTATAAAATTTTAATTCGAAGTATTTGATTGAAAGAATATCAGAATGCATTTAGAATTTAGGTTTAAGCTCAGGTTATGCTATTAATAACTCAAGATTTGCATATCAGTTATTTAGAGGAGTTATATAAAATCAGGTAAATTGTTTTTATTTATTACATATTTTTTTTTAAAAAACTTACATATTAAGAACTTAATNAAAAAAAAAAAAAAAAAAAAAAAAAAAAAAAAAAAAAAAAAAAAAAAAAAAAAAAAAAAAAAGATGAGGGAAAGGAGGTGAGGGGTGATGAAAGAGGAACAAGTCATCCCCCCCCTTATTCTTTCCGGTCGGCCGTGAAAGAAAAAAGAACGGTGTACTCATCTAACCAGACACAAACACTTTGTACGCAGACCAAAGCAGACGACTTACAGCACTTACAGCAGACGATTTGGATATAATTCAAGGTTTTGCATACCAGCTACCTAATAGAGTTAAATATAACAGGTAAGTTTTTTTAATTTATTCATTTTTTTTTTGCATTTGATTTCTATGGGTTTCAATTTTTAAAACCCATAAAATTTTAAACCTATAAAATTTTAATTCGAAGTATTTGATTGAAAGAATATCAGAATGCATTTAGAATTTAGGTTTAAGCTCAGGTTATGCTATTAATAACTCAAGATTTGCATATCAGTTATTTAGAGGAGTTATATAAAATCAGGTAAATTGTTTTTATTTATTACATATTTTTTTTTAAAAAACTTACATATTAAGAACTTAATAATTTTCGTTTGTTGCAGACGTGTACATAAATGCTGCTTTTATTTGTTTATTGCTCTTTTTTTTTCAAAGAAAGGAATTATAAAATTATTTTCAAACAATAAATTTGTTATTAAAAAAAATAAATTAAAAAAAATAAAGAAGGAAAAAAGAAAAGGGTTATGATTTGGACAAAAAGGGATATACTTAAAAGTCGAGTGCAATATTAAATTATAATGTATGCAAAATTTGTTTTAAACAAATATAATAAAATGTGCAATGAAATAATTGTACTACAAATGAATCTTCTGATTTTTTTTTTTTTTATAACCCATCTTTAAATTTTTCGTTGAGTTAGGCTATCCGGGGAAGCTAATGATATTCAATATCCATTTTATTTTCGACACATTATTTATTACTTGCTTATTAATTTTTTTTTATAAAGGTAATTTTATCTTCTCTTCAAACTGTTGCATTTGCGCCTGCCTACTTAAAATAATAATTTTGATAAGGTTTAAGTTATTTAAATATTTTGGTAATGAAATATTTACTTTGTATTGCAAGTTCAAATTAGAGATATTTTATGCTGTTGAAATATTTTCTTTCTTTATTTACTTTACACCCCTAATCCTCCAACTTATTGCTTTTATTCCTATTGCTTTTATTTCAGCTATTTGCTTCTTTTATATATATATTTAAAAAAAATCCTCCATGTTACAAAATTTTAGCATTTCTTGTTTAATTAGTTATTAATATAACTGAAAAATAAAAATTAGAAAATTAATTTTTTTCTTGTTTGAAAAATAAATACGGCAGTTCTTTGTTTTGTCGTGGCAAAATTAAAATATAAAACGTTTAGAGCGAGTCTCCATAGTTAAATTATTTAATTTGTAATGCTGATCCTCTTTCTCTAACTGAGTTTGTAAAATACACAAAAATATTAGAAAGTTCTATAAAGAGTAAGCTTTTTTTATTATTTTTTCTCATTTTTCATTGCTATGCGATCATGAGTGCTACATTTATCATATAGTGAAGCATTTAAATTTTCGTTGTGCAAACCGTAATAACATAAATTCAACTTTCTTAGGAACAAAAAGACAAGAAAGTTACTTTTCTTTCTTGTATTTATTACAGACCCTTGTTGTGACGGGGGGGGGGGGTCATAAACTATCCGTTGTCGGTTTAAAGTCCTTAGACTGAAAAATTTCAAAATGGAGTATGGTACTAAGTAATAATGAACTATTTATTTTCGAACACTGTGCACTATTATGTCTGCCATTATGCAATCATCATAAGAGTTATGAGGATTTTAGAAAAAAAAAAAAATTACATTTGCCAATAAAACGATCACTTTAAAAGAAAAGTTCAAACAATGAATTTTTTAAAAAGTCTCATGAAAATATTGTGATGGCTATTGCATTAATAAAGAGTATTTTCGTCAGAGCATTGGAAAGAGAAAAAAAAGGAAAAACAAAATTTTAAACTTTTGCATTCCGATTTCGCCTTTTATGCATAATGATCTGTCACCACTGTAAAATTAAAAGTTTTTATACCTTAATAATTAGTAACCACATTATTTTAAGAACTTGAAAAATTATGTAAAAATACAGTATTGTGTATTTTAGAAGATTAAGTGTTTGGATTAATTCAAACAGCATTTTAAAGTATTCAGAGAGCAGAGGCTAATTCAAAGGGTGCAAAGGTTATTTGGGTTAAATAAAAGAAAAACAGCATTTTAAAGTATTCAGAGTGCAAAGAGTTAAATAAAAACCTTTCCCCCCTTTTTTTTAACGAATTAACTGAAATTCAACTTTTTGTCTGCTAAAGGAATTTGAATAATATTTGTTATGACTCATTTTCCTTTGATTTCTAATATATAAAGATTTTATTTATTTATTCATCTTTTGCAACGCGAATTTTTTTTTAAAATTAAAAATTTCATACTGTTGTGAAAACATCAATTTTATTTAAGTTACTGACAGGCATTAATCCGAATCTAAATATCGCTGTTAATTATTTTCGATTGAATTTTACTCGAGAAACATAAATTTTCTGAGTTCCGCAAAGGCCTGAATGCATATTTGGATTTCATTTTCCTTAACGATTTCCGAATGCTAACATATTTGAGTGGAATCGATATCTTAGCTTATCGCTTTCAGCGCCGAGATTTTCAGAAAAAAAGCTCTAATGCGAATCTAGAAAATCGTCTGTGAGTTTTTTTTTATTCAGACACAGTTCAAAATGCGTGTTTAATAAATGGACACACCATAAGAAGAAATAAAAAGCTCTTTTTTAATGTTTAACCCAATTTTAACAACTAAGCGAATTTCATACTCACTTTTCCTTATTTATGTAAACACTAAGCATATTTATTTTGGGGAAAATTCCTAGATTTAGGGGTAAATTACGGACGCAACTTTTCAGACGATCTCTTCGTATTCAGAACACCGAACTATAAAATGGTTTTAAATAACATCTAAATTCGTACAATATCAATTTAACGCGCCTATTATTATAATTTAACTCTTCAAGACCCAGTCCTCACGATTGTGCTGGCTATATTTTAACCCAGTATATGCTTGGTGGTAATATATATTCCGAGTTGAACCAAGTTTAAATTGAGTTAAAATTTTCTTTTCTTAGCTACCATTTTAATATTAAAAGCAACCTAGCTGCTTTATGACACACTTTAAATTAGATCTTCCACCTAATAATGAATTCTAGGAAGCATAAATTACATTGGAAATTTTTTTTTTGAATTTGTCATTATTTGTTTATTTATTAATTTCTTTGTTTTGTTTTCTTTTGCCTGAGAATTTTTAACAGATCTTAGGTACCATCACTGATTTCAAATCTGCAATCGGTTTCTCTCTCCAATCTAAATTTCTTTTGTTGCTGTGAAAAAGTAGGTACAATGTATTTCCATGGATAGGATTAAATTTTAACAAAAATTCTAAGGCTGCATTCACACTTATCAGTAAAACGTGGTCATTTATATGTCCACCATGATTAAGAGTATGGACGCAATGTACTCATCCGATTCACAATCGTTAGTGGTTGAGTCGTGGTGGCTCAGGGATAAAGCACTCGTCTTCCTATAAGGTAACCCAGGTTTGAATCACAGCTGTGACTGGTTGATACGAATTCCGCTTCCGGATCGCTGAGGATATTATACCACTGAGGATATTATATCCGCTCCCGGATAAAATATCCTCAGTGGTAGACAGATCATGGGACAGAATCCCCAAGCCGTCTGGCTAACCATGGGTGGTTTTCATAGTTTTCCCCACCATGTAAAGCAAATGTGGGTTAATTCCATCAAAAAGTCCTCTGAGAAGGCCTGTTTATACCAATGGTTGATACAGGAGTTCCGTTGTCTTCTGCGTTGGGTTCAAAATTATAAGGCTACGGAATTGAACATTGAAAAACGTAAACTGAAAATTTGGTCGGTTGTTCAAAGCCGGTCATAAAATAAAATAATAAAATATAAATCGTTTGTGGTTTATCAAAAAAATTTAAAATCTGATTCGGGCAACATCGATCGACTATCAAGGTTTCGTCCTTTTCTAACTTCGACATATTTGTTTAGTTAATATTCTCTTGGAAGAGATATATCAACATGATCGTATCTCTAATTAGAATTTATTTGGAAGAAGAAAAAAAATTAGCAGAATAGGGCAACTAAATTGCAAATGTGTTCGATGCTCATTCGAAGATAAATATATTTTTTTCTTTTCTTAAAAAAATCGCCCAGTTGACCTTTTTATCGTTTGCAAATCTTCCAATTTCCGAGCATCAATAAAAAATTTTGCAGGACAGAAACTATTTACCTCCGGTGTGCGCACGTGTTCAGGTAAGGAAGGAGGGCGCGGTGCCAATAAGGGGGCCCAGGGACGTTAATAAATCTGAATAGATTCCTCCTCCCTCTTGCTTCCGGTCTTCTGAAAGTAAGAGCATGGGGAGAAGAATGGAAGGGGAAAAGTTTTTGTGGAGCATTTCCTTTTTGAGGTGTCTTTTCTTTCTCTTTTTTTTCATCCAAGAAAAGGAATCGTTTGCTCCCTGCTTACCACATTTCCTGTCTGCTCCTCTTCACCTCTTTTGAACACCTTTGAAGAAATTGAGGAGGGGTCGTGTTTTTTTACGGATGGCGGGACAACATTCCAAGCATTTCAAGGGAGATAAATAGGCAGGATCTTTAAAAGAGTACACAACTTCTCAGCATCTTTTCAGTCTTTGGGATAAACAATACGATTTAACTTCAGTTCTAAAGGCAGCAGACGATTGAATTTCTTTACTTCTGAAGAAAGAAAACGATAATAAATTTCCTTTTTTATTCAGTTTACTTCAACAATGAGTACAAAACTATTTTATCGCTTTAATATTGACATTTACACAAAACATTACGACTCGGCTCTATTCTATGACGCCGGATGCTTAAATCGAGTCAACATTCAATCCACTCAACTAATACCGTCTTTATTCTTGTCTATACCGTCTTTATTCTTATTTTAATAATAAATATAAAGCTATTTAATTGCTATGAAACTGAAAAACACATAATAATACGTTATAACGGTAAAAAATTTATTTTTTATTACTCAGTACACTTCTACAATAAATCTAAAACGATTTATATTTTTGTAAATTGATCTTTTGTAACAGAAATTAGCATATTAATAAAAGCAATTCGTTTTTTTTTCTCAAAAATCTAGCATTTTTAATTCAATATTAACTCTTGATATGCTAGTAGATTAATTAGGGAACTAAATTAAAACCAGTTATTTTATCTAATTTGTATCCAATTGATTTTAGATAGCTCCCTGCAAACGACAGGTTCGATTCTGTTGACCTTTAATTTAATATAATTAAATATTTATTCGAACGAAATTATAGGTTATTTAAAAATTAATTTAGTGTTTTAATATAAAATCTACTGAAAGGAGCTTTTATTATTATTTTTAAATTGTTAAATCGCCTATTGTAGTATTGTTAGATTAACGTATTAGTTAACAATAATCTCCGATGAGAGGGGGAATTTCATGATAATTGACCAAAAAGATTAAGCGTTTCTTTTCAATACATTTAAAAACATCACTTGTTGGAAAAGTATTGTTTATGATTTTTATATCACAATACGCAAAATATAATTCCGAAATTCATAAATACTTATAGTTTCTTTAGAGTTGTATACATTAAGAAAAATGATAATTGTGCAGGCTCAGATCGACCGCAATGCTGACATAAAATATCGTCATTAATAAATGGTTCATGGGCTAATAGATGTAAGTTTTGCTCTATATGTAACGCATTTGTAAACAGCAGCATGCAGTGGTGTAAAGACGAGAAAAAAAAAGAAAAGAAAAAAGGAAGAAGGTTGGGGGGGGGGGGGTCTTCAAAGAACATTGGGAAAAAAAGGGGAAGGGGAATGAAATGACTTATATTTATAAAAACTGAATCAATATTTTAAACTTTTTTTTACATAAATGAAAGGAGAAATTATTAAAAGGTAAAAAGAATATTATTTCAAGCAAAATATGAAAGGAATTTAAATCTTAATAAGCTTATCTGTTCTTAAATTGTTTAAATTCTTCTTAAAATATTTTGCGTGAGATAGACATTAACTAGTAGAAAAAACTTATAAAGATAATATATTTTGAAGACATTAGTCGTTGGTTGGATGCCCCACTTTGGCTGAATGGTTGCGGCCGTTGCTTCCACCCCCACTGCACGCCAAGGATTATAAGTTTATTACATAAAAAAAAAAGTCAGTCAGTATGCGTCTATGTTAGTTACAGGAGTTTCCTTGTCTTGTCTTGATCATTAAATAAATTATTAAACTTATTCCAAACATACAATGATTCCCAGATATCAAGTTCGGTAGATGAAGAGCAGCGCTGAATGATTAGCGCAAGAAGACTCAAACCTGTGATCAGAATCCTAACAATGTAGGGCGATGGAAGATCGGTTAATATCTTGAATTTGTACACTTCTTTTGTGTTCCTTGAATCGAAGTTTCAGGGTATCCAATCTACCTAAGAAGAGCAACAGTGGCTTGAGGCAGTGTTTCCCAAAGTGTGGTACGCGTACCTCCTGGGGTACGGGAACAATTTAGCGGGGGTACGCTTTCTTATGTGAAATATCTTGCAACAAACGAAATTTCAAAACAATTTTATTTAAAAACAAAGCTAGCCATTCAAATTTACGATTACGTATTTTTCTATTGGCTATTTTTTGCAGAATTAACAGTTAATAATTAGTGGTGCCAACAGCCAGTTGTGATGATTAACTTTTGTACATTTTTTTTATAGTAAAAAATACATTCATTTTTTTATTAGTGGTACTCTACGTTTCGAATAATTTAGAAAGGGTACACAAAAGTTATAAGTTTGGGAAACACTGGTTTAAGGGATACAGCGGCGCTCGCCTCATAATGAGGTACCCCAGGTTCGAATCCCAGCGGCGTCTAGTTAATATGAATTATGCATCCGGTCAATGTAAATTATGCTCGCGTGTTAGGGGCACTCGACGCGAAAGAATTAAAGGGATCACATTCGAATGATTTCAGATCGATATAAAGAAAAATAACTAATATATTATGATTAACACGAACGCTTTAGTTTTTCAAAATTTATCCTAAAAATGAAATAATTAAGTATTCTTTATCTTAGGATAAGAAAAAAAGACTTGTTTTCAAAATATTGCGCCAAATGGCTTTAGTGACAAAAACACAGATAATCTTTTGGAAAATAGGGAACGTATTAAGTACAATAAATTCTATATCTGTAACAAATCCTTTCTCGGCATTAATCACAGCTGCAAGAAATAAAAAAACAATCGTTTTGAGAGAGATAGAAAATAAAGGAATTGAAATTTATTAATTAGTGATAGGTGAAGGGAAGGGAAGGAAGTGGGAGGGGCAGGTGTAAAGTACTTCCAGGTGATACACACAGCTGAATCGTGCATCCGCACGGATGTAATATTTGCTGCACCTCTACAAAACATCCTGCCCTACCACATCCATCGCTATAGGGGTTATTATTTTCTAAAAATAAAAAGATTAACAATTTAATACACTTAAATCGTTTTATAACTAGACCCATATTAATTTTGTTATAAACTAAGCTATTGAAGAGTAGTTTGAATTTGCACTTAATTTGATTTAAAGTTATTTAGTTTATGTTTATTTATTACTTATTGATGTCATAAACGTACATATATATATCATAAACGTCAGTCAGTTAGCATAAAAAATTGGACAAAATGACTGTAGCACTGACCATATAATCGATTTTATTTTTTCTTATAATTATTTTGCTTTCGTTTTTAATTTTATTTTATAAGAAAGAAAAAAAAATAATTGAATAATTCCGTATAACGTTATTTTAGCTCTGAGCTCATAAATGTGATTTTTCGGAAATTACTCATACATGTTTCTTTTTTTTCTTTTTTAAATTTTATTTTGTAAGAAAAGAAAATAATTGTTCAAAAATTCCTTTCTAAATTTAGTTTTGCACGGTTTTTTTAATTTCATGTAATAAAGGAGAAAAATTATAATAATTCAATAATTGTGTGAAATTTCCTTTTAGTACGGAGCATATTTTAACTTTGATTTCTGTATAATTATTTTTTGCTGCTTTTTAATTTTAGATTATGACAAAAAAAATATTCAAACTTTCGGTAAAATATCCATTACTAATACCATTATTACTATACTATACCATTAAAAGTTAAGTGTGAAAAATTCAGCAAAAAAAAAAAAAAAAAAAAAAAAAAAAANCCCCGTTTCAGGAAAAAAAAAAAAAAAAAAAAAAAAAGAAAAGGTAAAATATAAATTAATAAACGCTATTATATAAATGTTGTCTGTCAATGATGTAAGTTGTCTGTGCTTCTCACAGCTGTTATTTTTAATTTTCGTTAAATTTGAACTATCCAAAAAGAAATAAATTCAATAATAATAATTCAATATTTTCAGCAGTATTTTTCTAATTATCTTTAATTTTTCAGCAATAAAATGTTGTATCCTGTTGATTGCGGAGCACTGCCTACAGTTGCCTGGCCTGATCGTGGCCTATCTTCGCTTACCTACCTACCGCCTACCTCTTCAAGGATGTGGGATAAAAAAGCCTATTCCACACTCTGTAAATTTATAGAAGATTATTCTCGCCACAATTACAAGGCCAGTATCCCCCCTCCATCTGGAAGAAACCACAGCAATGAGCCTAATTTACCATCAGGTGAGAAAAGAATTTTTATTGATTTTGACTGTTTTCTCAAAGTTTTAGTTTAATATGGTTTCTTCGAAGCTCTTTCATCAAGGAAATAAAAAAGCCATAGTTTAAGTGCCTTACACTTGAGGCAACGCGATTATCTTAATCTATATACATATTATCTTACCGTGAAGAATTATCTGGGCTTTAGAACAGACAAATAACTTAAATATTTAAAAAAGTTGAACTTCTTTAAAAATCGCCAATCTGGCGATATTTTTTCACCAGAAAAACAGTAGAAAACCATGGTTTTGTGAAAATGAAAAGTGTTTGTTGTCTAATGTTTAAAAACATTCTCCACTACTGTATTATCCGGGCTCATAAAAAATTTACAAAAGCTGAGAATAAGGCAGTGATTTTGATAATTTCCATCTAGGGGGGGAAATGTTGCAAATTGACGATTTTAATGACTTTATATTTAATTTATTTGTCAGTTCTAGAGCCCAGATAATTCTTTACAGCAAGATGATATCTATAGTCTAAAATCAACGCATTCCTTCCAGTGTAAGGCACTTAAACTATGGCTTTTTTATTTTCCTTGGCGACAGAGCTTCGAAAAATCATACCGTGGGAGAAATTTTTTCCCGCAAATTCTGTATTATCTCTAGAACTAATTTCAAATACAGAGAAACAGCGAGTTCAGAAAACCCCCGAAAAAACCATGAAGTTTCAATTCCTGAAAAAAATATTGTTAAGTTATCACAATGCAAACAAATTATTTGAACAGAACTTCTCCGCAATCTTAGCAATAAACCATGCGTAAAAGTTTTTTTTTTCATTTTGAAAATTTCTTAAAGCTATTTAAAACTTCATGACTTATTCTAGGTCTGTCTGAATTCGCTTTATTTATGCTGTAAATTTTTAATTAGTTATGGGGGTCACAGAGAATTTGTGATGATAAGTTTCTCCCGTGAGATAGTGTCCTCTTAAGAGAACACTATACCGCTGAGAAATCTTTCATTGCGAATTCTGTTGATGTTTTTAAACTCTTAAGTTATGAGTTCAGGTAAACCTAAATTAAATGATGAAATTTCAAATGCTCAAAAAATGTTTTTAAAAATATCAAAATGTAAACAAATTATTGCTATTCCCCATTGCGCAATCTTGAAGTAATTTGTTTGAATTTCTATAATTTCAATTTTTGCTCAGCATTTGAAACTTCGTGGACATGGTTTACATGAACTAACGTTTTCTATACTTTAAATTAATTTTTATTTTAAATTAAAGAGAATTTGCCATGACGATTTTCTCCCGCGATAGAATGAACATTTATTTAAGCATAAGCTGTATACAATAATTAATTACGTTAAGCTTTAATAGCTATTTCAGCGACAATTTCAATCAAAACTTAGAAGACTTGGTGACTCAGGGGACAGAGCGTTTGCCTTCCAACGATGTGAACCGGGTTCGAATCCCAGCGTTGGCTGGTTGATACGAATTCCGCATCCGGCTTGCACCGACCACAGTGCTGATGTAAAATATTTTCAGTGGTTGACGGATCTTGGGTTTTATTCCCCTTGCCGTCAGGCTAACCGTGGGAGGTTTTTCTCTCCATGTAATGCAAATGCTGGATGCATCAAAAAGTCCTCCACGAAGGCAAATTTTTCCAATATTTTATCCAGGAGTTCCCTTGTCTTCTGGATTGGGTTCAAAATTACAAGGCTGCGAGTTGAATATTAGTAGTCGTAAACCCAAAATTGGGTCGTCTGTTCAACGACGGTTATAAAATAGAATAAAAAGCCTAATAAGTTTTTTCACCTTGTAGATCCTCGTCAGTGGAGCAGAGAGGATGTTGCCAGATGGATTGAATCAGTCATCAGCACCCACCAGCTGCCCAAAGTCCAGCTGGAACGCTTTCTGATGAATGGAAAAGCTCTTTGCCTGATGTCCATTGAAATGTTTGTCAGCCGAGTGCCTCTTGGTGGCAAGCTGCTCTACAAAGACTTTCAACTACGACTCAGTAGAGCACTCTACAGTTGAAAATTGCACTCACCACGACCAAAGTTTTATACCTTCTCAACTAAGGATTGCAATGTTAGAGAACTTTGAAAAGTTCAGAGAAATATTTCTCTGGCTTCAGACTGGAACTTGACTCGAGCGAGCTACTTCCTTGCATTAGATAGCACTCTTCTGATTCATCAATGGATTTAAAATCTGTAGAACACATTACTTATAAAGATAGCATTGTGATGATAGCAATTATCTATAAAGATCGTTTTGCGATGATAGTAGTAATGCCAAGCTAAATGCTTCTTAGTTCCTTTCTAAACCAAAGAGGTTTAAAATTATTCTTGTTATCCGATAATTACTGATAGGACAAAATTAATGGTTGCAAAAAGAATTGTCTGTCACTTGCTTTTTTTCCATTGAAAATGCATCCTGTGCGTATTTTATTATTATTGTTTATTTTTTTTAACAAATATGGAATTAGTAGATATTTATATGTAGAATATTTTGGTAAATGCTTCATAAAAAGTACCTTACATTATTAGTATCTACAACAGCTTTTTTAATAGTTTAAAAATCTAAATTTTTGTGGACATAGTTACTACTCGTCGCAGGATCAGATTTTCCTAATTTTACCCTATATAATAATGAATAGGTGATAACATGTTTTAAAAATCAAAGAATTGTAAAATGTTATAATATTCTCAAATTAGAGCTACAAGAGCAATATGTGATAAAGCAATAACTGTAAGCTAAAATCTAGTTTATTCCTAAATAAAAGAACTTCAATACTTCTCTTGCTACCAGATATTCAATATGTAAATAATTATATAACTGAAAAAATGTGAACTCTTGTGAATAACTGAAAAGTGTTGAGAATTTAATATTATACCAGCCAGAAATAAGCACTAAACGTAGTGCAATTATTACAATATGTCTTTCACTTTGATTAATATGTAAAAAAATTCATTTCATATAAAAAATACTGTGTAAGCTATGTTATTTTTGATATGCTATATTTTTCAGACTTTATGTAACTAGATATAAAGTTTCCGCTTGATTTATTGTTTTAATAAGTTTAAAAACAAAACTTATAAGTGGCAGGGTTGTCAAAGATTAAGCATTTTAATTATTAAAATGTAAAATAAATGTTTAATTTAAAATAATAATGAATGGACAAATTGAGGACATTATCAAAAAGTTAGGTTAAAAAAATAATTCATGACTTAATTTAACATTAAATTTTTTTAATCAGTCTATAAAATTAAAACAATGCTATTAATAAAAAAAAATTAAAAAGTTATTTTAGTGAAAACGATTAATTCCATTAAAANCATTAAAATTCATGAATTAATTTAACATTAATTTTTTTTTATCAGTGTTATGAAATTAAAATAATGCCACAGATAAAAAAAAATTCAAAATTTGTTTTTGTGAAAATTTTTAATTCCATTAAAATGTTAGTAAAATGTACAAAGATTAATGATTTTCTTTCTAAACTGCATAATATATATACTTTTAAATTGCCTTATGCTTAAAGTTGTAATTGCCTAAATTCAGGGTAAAGAAAGAATAATTTTGGGAAAAACTAAGACAACAATTAATATGATTAAATAAAATTTTTTAATGTTATTTAACAATAAAAAAATAATCAAAAGCTACAGATTTTGTAGACTCCACCAACCAAGTTCTTAACACTAAACATACCAAACCGGTACGTTTAGTACCAGTTGTATGTTGTTTTGCATTGTAAAAAAGTGTAGGTTTGCTTAGTGTTAAGCATCTTACAGCGATTCTTTCAATTATTTTTTTAAAATATAACTCTTTCTAAAAGAATATAAATCATCAACTTATCAGACTAAATTAGAGGCATTTCCCATAAACTGCTTATTTTTAAAGGGAATTACGAACTCTTAGCAATGAACAACAATATGAGATAAATTAACATGAGTTTTGAGATATAGATTTATGCAATATGAGATAAATGAAGAATATTCCAATTAATTTCGAATATAAATAATTTCTTTTAATTAATTTCGTGTAATAATTAAATTTATTTTCTCCTTAAACATTATGGCAACCATCACTACTCTGGCCTTAATAGTAAATTATAGCTACAATTTATTATATCATTAAAATGTCCTGTTTATAGAGCAAATAAAAAAGTACACAATTTCCAATAAATATTTATACAATGTTAGAAACTATTTTTTGTTTTACTATATATTTAGATAATTTTGCTATCAAATTGTCTTATGTTCCTATATATGTCTAATGTATGTTTTGTATTATAGCTAGTCAAAAATTTATAAATAAATTCTTTCATTAGTCATAATTAGTGTTTTCATTTCATTTAAATATCACATAATGATACAATATTAGTCTTCAAAAATACTGTTTTGAAAACGATTGTACTGGAAACATGAAGTACATACACGGATCATGTATTTTTCTCATTACTACCTAATTTTTATTATTTTTTTAAATTGACCTTACTGATATGTACGTACATGTTAACTATATTTTTCATTTGTGAAAAAAAAAAATATTTCGAAATTTAGAGGTTTTTTATTAGACTTGAACCATAATAGACTCCATTTTGTCATTTATGAAAAACAAGTCAATTTCTTAGTGCAATTAAAAAAACACTTCAAGTGCCTCTGATGGATTCTGAGAAAAGTGCTCGACAACTATTTTCTTTTTCCTGCTAATACTATTAAGCCTGAAATATAAATTTAGGAAACTGATAAAACGAAATTAATTTTTAATTTTCTTGCAATATGTAGCTAACTACACAAAAATATATAAATATCTCAATTCCAATTTTTTTTGCCCACATTGATTTTACTATTGCAGGACTCAACTTTTTTCTTATTATGACTATGTGTGATAACATCACTTAGAATAGTAAAAAAAAGACTATTATCACACAATAGTAAGACCAATTATTAAATCCCCCTTTTTTTTAGGAAATACCATAGAAAAATTATGGGTGTCACAGCCATTCATACAAAAATGCAAAAGACATTAATATCTCAATTTTAATTTTTTTCACATACATTAATTTTTCTACTACAGGGCAGTGTTATATTCTAATTTTTCTTATTATGGCTATGTGTGATGACATCACTCGGAATGATTAAAAAAAATGGCTATTAGCACACAGAAGTAAGACTAACTGTTGAACAGCCTTCTTTCAAGGAAATACCATAAAAAAAATTATGGGCGTCACAGCCGTTCAGTTTTTAAGTAGTATAAAATTAAAAAGCAAAATCTGAATAATTCTCTAAATTTTACATAAAAAACTAATTTTTTCCTCCTCTTGTATCAAATATTGAGTGTGACTAGAGATTTCTAATCATTGGTATGGTACATTCAAGTTTCATTAATTTCAATTGACTTGAATCCGAAAGTTTGGAGCTGTGAAGTTTTTTTTCTCAAAATTGTCAGTAAGTTTTTTTTTATTACACTTTTTATTACCTTCTGTTCTTTGATAAATAGCATTAATAAGATCACTATTCTTGTTTTGATTAGTCAAAAATAGCGATCTTAGAAATAAATGGTTATTAACATACAAAAAGAATATAAACTATTATAGCTTTTTTTATAGATAAAATACAAATAAAAAAAATCATGAACATGAATAGTTATCTTATTAATGCAATTAATTATTTTATTTTGTTGATATAATGATTAATTACTTTAATAAGATCACTATTCTAGTTTTGATTTTTAATCAAAATCGTTGTAAAAAAAGAAAAGAGTGAACTCTCCAAGTTAGAAGGGAATTTCTTTAATTTTATTTCCTTCTGAACTTTAAGGCTTTTTTACAGAAACACCTGTTGAGCATGACCTTGCGGTCAAGAGCATATGATTCGCTCTTGCATTTTGAACATTAATAATAGCTAATGAGGAAAGGAAAAAGAGGTTTAATATGCTAAACATATAAAATAACCAATACTGATACAGAAATATAAATAAATGAAGCCTTAACAGCACGTTTTCAAATCAATCAGATCACGTTTCAAATGTAAATCAGAAACATCAAACATTAAAAATTAGGGAAAATAAGAACAAACTATTATTTATTAGGTAAATTATGAACCCAGCATTCAAGGCAACTTTTAATTAAACATTAACATTTAACAATTTTAAATTGTACAAAAATGAATTATAATAAAACCTTTTAAAAATCATATAATGCAGCAGAAGATCTATATAACACAATTCTATAATTCGCAAAATAATAATAATTTATTATAATAACTAGGTTGTAATAAATTATAATCATTTATAGGTATAAACCATGAAAATCATATTAAAGGATTTTCTGATGCTGAGAAAGAATCATCAACCGTTCAAAGGCTGAAAGAAAAATTATTTGCTAACTAAACTCTAAACAGGTTTTAAACTCTAAAGCAAACAAAATTAATATATTTTCTTGTTCTTCTTGATTATATTGCTTTGGATAATTAAATTTTTTTTCTGTAAATAAGAAATACCTAAGCACAAGTTTTTTTGTTTTAAAGTAATTTGCAGTTGGAAATAATTTAAAAACATTTGAATAATATGTTCCAGATATACTAGGGCTGTTTTTTAAGTAAGGGCTGTTTGAAAATAAAAACCAAAAGAAAGAAAATTCTCATGAAGCTAATTTATTTTTTAATTCCACTTATTTTAATTCTATCACTAACACTATTTTAATTTTAATTTCCTTTTTTTCAAAATAGTTGTCAAGTTTGCTTAAGCACTTATCATACCTTACAACTAGATTTAGAATATCCTCTTCATAGTAACTTGTCGTCTGCTCCGATAAACAAATGATCATGGCGTTTTCATGTACTGGACGTCATCGCAGCACTGGTAGCTGTCAAAATGATGTGTGAAACATCGGAAAAGATGAAAATCCCTTAGCGCAAGGTCTGGACTGTATTGAGGGGTGGTCCAAAACTTCCTAGCCAAATGAGTTCAATAAAGCTCGAGACTGAGTTGTGGGGAGAGTCATAAAGTAGCAAAATTTGTCAGCATACCAGTATTAAGCATCATAAACTTCACAAATCTACCGGTGAAAGCATTCAGTAGATAGGTTTTTTGCCTACTAAAAACGCAACACTGACCGTACCTCATATGTGGCGGATGATTTGTTGAACTTGAACATTTTAAAGACATAGAACTGAACACATAGATTCCCTACACAGCTGTAACTGGGCACAGTTGTTTTCATGGAATGCTAGGACACGAGGTAAGCACTCGTTGTGACACACACACCACCTATTAAGTGTACATAAGAAAACAGCCTTTACTTAAAAAACAGCCCCTGTATATTGTGAAGCTTAGTCAGTAAGCTTAATGATATGATCTATATAACACAGAACTCTATAAAATGCAAATTAATGTTTCAAAGTTAGCATCATAAGAATCTTCTACTGGCAAAGAAATAGCCATGAGTTTGAGTCTAGAATAACCAGGTAAGATACTGAGTCTAGATAAACAGGTAAAAATATGTCAAAAAATTATTTATTTTTGGCTAATTTTAGTTCTCTCAGTTACAAAACATAGTATAACATCACAGAATTGCATATTAAAAATAGACTAATAATTTAATATCACAATTAGTTATTTAATTAATTGACAGCCTTCTACTGTAAGACCTACAGAAGTTTTAACTTCATTCATTGTCTTGGATGCAATTTCAATTGCTCTCTCAGATCCAGTTTTAAGAATCCTTTCGATGTATCCACGATCGGACATTATTCTCTTTATTTGTTCTTGTATCGGCTTTAGATGCTCTATCACAGCTTCAGCGACAACCAACTTGTACTGGCCAGTGTCCAGGCTTTCACTGTCCTTACAGATTTCTTCAAAGGATTTTCCTGAGCACAGGCTGTGGACGAGAATCAGATTACCGACACCCGGACGTTTTTCCATGTCGTATGTGACGCCCGACGTGAAGTCAGTGAGGGCTTCTTTTATTCTTTTTGTTATGATGTCAGGAGAGTCTGTCAGGTCGATTCTGTTTTTAAAGTTTTTGTCGGACTTGCTCATTTTCTTGTCTGGCTCTCTGAGGCCCTTAACACGTGCACAGGTTTCATCTGAAAAAAAAAAAGGCTTATGTTCATTCAAAACATGCTGAAGTATGTCAAAATAGGCTCAATTAATCATCCGAAAAGTTTCCAACAATTGACATATTGTTCTAAGCTAAAGGTTTCATAAATCGTGAAAGTTCCTGAGAAAGGGAGGAGGAGGAAAAGGAAGAAATTGTGAAAGTTTATGACTAGGGGGAAAGGTTTATGGAATTGTGACAGTTAAAGTAAAGGGTAAAGGGACAGTAAGTTCAAGAAATTGTAAGAATTAAAGACAAGATGTAGTTGCTGCATGAAAGACAAGATGAGGGTGTTCATGAAATTGTGACAGTTTATGAGAAGAGAGAAGGAGAGGTAGCAAGAAGAGTGGCATCATACATTTTAGTTCAAATACATTAATTAAAATCAGTAAATCAAATATATTTTTTTGATTCTGATTTTTTCCATCTTGTTTCAAGAACAGAAAATGCTGTTTTTCTTTTGAGGATTTTGTTTTGTATAATCATTGATTTTATTTTGCTAAAGATAATTGAGGATTAACTTAAGTCCTAGCTAAAAGCTTAAAAGGATATTACATTTGAAAGTTCTAGATGAATGAGGATTACTACTACTATGATTAGTAATTACTACAATATGAGGATTGCTAATTACTACTACAACACTTCCTCTGCCCTATAAATGGATAGAGGAAGTGTTGTAGTTGTAAATAATTAGAGTACTTTCTATATAGCAAATGAAATTATAACATATAAGGCTTTAAAATGAAATTTGAAATATAATCTATAATATAGTGCTTTGCTTCAAAAGTACAAGCATAAAATTTTGTAATAATGTGGGACACTGTAAGGGGTATAAAATATAAGAATGAGTAAAAAATATTGAAAAAAAAAGTGAGACATCAACTATAAATATACCCAACAAAATCACATAATTTATTTCTTATACGTATTTTAATTTTTAATGTAAAAGAATATAAATAAAATATATATATATATAATATACAGGGTTATTCATAATTCCCTCCGGGGTTTCGAAGCATTGTAGTAAAAAAACGAAGACGAATATGGCAAAAAAGAACATATGAAATTATTCAAGTTTTAATTTAAGCAGTTGCCGGTAGATGGCAGTAACATGTACCACTGAAGCCAGTTGTAGTAAAGAAAAATGGCGTTTACAGGCGGAGGAAATTATGAATAACCCTGTATATTAATTTTTAATGTAGACAACCAGGTGGCTGAGTGGTTAGCGTGCCTGATGTTGGTTCGAATCCCGCTCAGGGCATGGTTGTTTCTCTCTGTGTATTGTCCTCTATTGTGTGTTATGTGTGTGAATAGGGCCCACCCTATGAACGGGTATTTGTGGCATTGTAGAGTGGGTAATATTGCTCCCTACTGTGACTTAGGTTCGCAGGTGGCCACTGGGTAACGTGAAATGAGCAACATTTTCGGTATCTTCGAAGGTGAAGAATGAACGTTCAATAGCTGCAGTTAAAAAAAGCTTTTTCAGGACAGCCCATGATAGTGTGGCACTTCGACGAGTCTCGTAAGTTTATTTTGGCTTTGCAGACGAAAATAAACTAAACATTAAAAAAAGTGGTAGTAATATTAACGTAAGTTAAACTTAAAAAAATTCAACTCTACTGTTATAACAGCTTGTCTTTCATTTTCATCAGCTGGATTTTCATCGCCTTTAATCAAATTTTAGTTAATTAATTTTAAAATGTTTCTTTCAGTAAATATTTTTGCCTAGCAAAACTTGCAAACTTACCAAGTGAAACATTTGAATACAAATACTTTACAGCATGTTCTGTAGATAAGTTATAGTATTTTTTTTATGGTGTTGTAGATAAATACAGAGGTTCTGCTACTGGTCTTGATAGCAACACATTCTTCTATTGTGATATTTAACATTATTATTGATAAATATAATCAGGGCTGGAAGTCCGAAATATAAAAATTAAGGACAAAATTGCCTCTAGAAATAAGGACAATTAAAGGATGCTGATTCTCTAATTAGAGCAATTTGTAATACCAGCATGCATTCACAGATATACAATTGGTAATAGTTTTAGTAATTCCTGCACTTAAGTGAAAAAAGAAATATTTTTGAAAAAAAAAAAAAAACTCGGATTTTTTAAAAAAAGTTATGTAATTTCTTCTTCTTTTTTTTATACAAAAAAAGGAGAGAAAATAGTCAAAATATGGAAAATCGTTAAGTAGTATCAAAATACGCGGATTCTCTTGTAAAAAACAGTAGAGCAGGTGATGTATAGTGATGAGGAGGGACTAGAGAGATAAGAACTTATTATATATTTCTCCCACATCCAATGCTTTTATGCCATCAAATCAAGGGTAACTGTCTCTAATACTGGAAGTAGATTAATATCATACTCGACGCGAAATGAAGACCTTGTTGTTTGTCTTGTAATTTACTTTGTTTTATGGCATATAACATAATTTCTGAATTTGAAATTTCTTCAATTCTTTTTCAGATAAATAAAATAACTTTTCTTCCCGTAATACTTTTTCTTCCCGTTAACTTCAACAAAAATTTTGAAATATTTCAGGAGATTTATTGAACTGTTGAATAATTAAGCATACTTTCTTTTTTATTTAAGTAAATTAAAGACAACTGTATAATTTAAGATAGGTAATTAGTTAATTAAATGTTATTATTTAAATCAATTGCTAATTGAAGGTTAAATAACTAATTATGTACATCAAGGAGTTCTGTTAATATATACCTCCCTGATGTGTTGTAGCCATAAATGTATAAAAGTAATAAGTTATAACTATATTAGTAATCAAATATTCAAATTCTTCAATGGGCCATAAAAAAGAACATATTACACTTTCCTGTTTATTCACATTGTTTAAGAGACTAACTTCACTAAATTGTAGTCATTATTTAATTAAGTTCTCAAGTTGAGTATAAAATAGCAATTAAGATTTCTTTTCAATAACTTTCCAAAAAAAATACCAGGATTAGAAATGTTTTTAAACTAAAAATATGCTCCAGTTCTAGTTACAAGCAAAAATATATTTTCATATTTTTTAAATATAAGAAACAGTCTAATAGTTACAAAAACGGGATAGAAGATTGGAATCATATTTGTACCAAAATATAAAAAAAGTTGTTTTAAAATTTCTTTTCCATTCATATTCAAAAGTTCATCATTAACTGATTTTGCAAATTTCATGATGAACTGATTTTCTTAGATCTAAATAAGTGCAAATTTAAAAGAGAGCTATGTTTGGCAGATTTTACCTTTAACGCAGGAAAAGAAACCAGTGTTTCATGCTTTATTTCATAACCATTATTAAAATGCTAGATATAATATTTTAAACTTATTTTGGCCTAAAATAATGAAAAAAGTCGAAAAATGCTAAATAATTCTGTGTCCAATTGTTAATGTATATTATCTGACCAAACAGTACATTAAAATAAGTCTGATGCAAAAAAATAACGTTCAATTTAAATTAAAGCGACAGTTTAGGTGAGAGATAAATAAATAAACACATTCTACCTATTAATGCTTCAGGAACTGGAAATATTTTTCCATACTTGTTATTAAATACTTTGACTAAATGCTGAGTCAGTTGAATGTGTTGAATTTGATCTTCACCTACAGGAACATGAGTAGATCTGAAAGACGAATGACAGTTGATTTAGAACAAAACATTGAAATAAAATATTCATCACATTTAATCACTGAAAGAAAACTAAAATCGAGTGACAGATCAACAATTAACATAGTACCCCAATAAGTGCTTGTTTTTTATTGGTGCACAAATTGTAACCCTTTTTTATAGAAGTTTCAATTTTTATTTTAGTTAAAACACTGAGTAATAATGAGTTCATGTTTATAATGATGAATTAGGCAGGAGAAAGCCCAACCTTAACTTAGATACCTCCCTAAGACTAGATATGATTTCCAGAATCTGATTGTGTCCAGAACAAAACTTTTTTCAACATATTCTTTGTATACAATATACTCAAGTTTCATAGATAGATTGCTCATTCCTAGTATTTAAAAATACATAACAGGGCTGACAACTTTTACACTTTGTGAGAAAACTGGTTTTCGTGGTAGAAAAGTTAATGATTAAATATATAATTCTTTGTTAAATCATGTTATTTTAAAGCTATTTTCCACGTCACTACATGTAAATAATTCAAAAGTTCATAAAAAATGCACTTTGTTTCAGTTCCTCGTAGTGAAGATTTTAAATTGTCAGCAAAATTAACAAAAATCTTGAAAGTTAGCTTTTGACTGTATAAAACTCTATAAAATATTTTGCAAAACGTGAAGTACTTGGCAAAGTTTTGCAAAAAGCGTAGTCTGTATATTATAAGTCATTGATAAAGTAAGCTATTTTTTTTAAATCAAAATGTTGAGCAACTTTTATGAAGTTAAATGCTGGTTGACAAGACTTGGGTTCACAAAGTTAAGAATAAGTTGTTAAAAGGATTCTTTATAATGAAAAAGAAGTCTATATTGCATGTGAGAAAAACACAAAGACAAGTTTATCTGCTGAATGAAGATATTTAGCTAAAAAATTAAAATTATGCAGTTTTTCAGATCATTGCACAATCTATAGGGCTCTATTCATTTGTATGCATAGTATGATGCAGTGAAAAAATATATAACATACTTCAACATACAAAAAAGTTTCATTCAGAACGTTTCGTTCAAAAAGTTTCATTTCAAGTTAACATACAAAAAACATATTTTTATCCTTTCTTACAGCCATGGCATAATACAAAAACAAATAGAAACAACTTAAAGAATATTATGTTAAAGTACCATATCTGGCATTGGAGTATTGAATTTTATAGACAGAAATTTAGTTTTAAATAATTTACTCAAAAGAGATTTAATAGTACAACTCAAAAAGATTATCTTAGAATTGTAACAGTGTTTAAAAAACAATGATTATGTTTACTTATATAATAAAATGTCTGCACTTTGTAAGACAGGATACACAAATAAGCCTAAAGGTATGTTCTCCAATGATGATGATTTGTCCTATGAAAAATAAAATAGAATATAAGTAAAGAATAAGGCACCAATCTAAATGAAATGTAATCATTAGATAAAAGCTAGTAACAATGACTTAAGCTAGACAAAACTTAACCTAACAATCATATCATGAATAGTTATATTAGTGCAAAATTCCCTAAAAAAGGTTACTCATATAATGACAGAGCTTTGGAGAAACTGTTCACTTGTTTTATTCCAAATACACTTCAATGAACTCAGCAAAAACGTTATATTAGGTCCAAAAGTTCTGTCTGCGAAAGTACACACCGTTTTTTTTTTACAGGAATATAAAAGGTTCGTTTATAAAAGAAAGTGTTATGGTATATACCCTTCAACTCAATGGTAATGTACTAGTTTAAAAAGAAACAGCACATATGGCAGGCAAGAGCATGTGCATGCATATTAAAACTTGTAATGAAAGTATCGGACACATCTAAAGGTCTGGTTTCTTAGGACAGGTCGCCGTCAGCTGGAAATCAGCGCTAACCTCTGATTGGTCCATTTGTGAGTATGACAGTATACGTCATCGAACACTCATCTTGAACTACAATTTCCGTCCAACTCAACTGCAGTTGGACTACAGCGTGACGTTAACGACTGAAGCAATGGCAGACAACATCCAACAGCAGATTGAAATCAGCCAAGATTTTGATTTTAACATTAAACATAGCTTCTTCATTAAATGTAGCACTCTTCATTTAGCTCAGCTATAATGTGTTTTTTCTAGGACAAAGCCATTATTTGTTCTCTAAAGCACTGGTCGACAATAACAAAATCAATACAAATTCAAATTAAATATTTGTTTACGTTATTAATGCATGCGCAATGAGAGATAATGTCTGCTTTGGACCGACTGCTCACGCTGAGCTAACAGATAAGTATTTTTTTGGCTTCAGCGATACGTCAACTTTCCGCTGACGCCCAGATAAGACACTTGTCCTAAGAAACCGGGCCTTGAGCTAACAAACCAGTATTTTGTTGGCGTCAGGGTAACGTCAACTTAATGCTGACGCCCAGATAAGGCGCTTGTCCTAAGAAGCCAGGCCTTAAGCAGTATATATATATTTTTATAAATGCACCTTTTACATCCTTGTATAATGGTATGCATTCTTTTGTGGAGGACAGAAATTTTTAGTTGACTAAATATTAATAAAAGGCGGTAATAATGAAATGCAGCGTCAAAATCAGTATTCAATAGGATTATGAATTAAGATTCAAATTAGGATTATTAATTAGGATAGAAATTATGATTCAAAATAAACCATGTAATTTTTTATTTTATTTTTACAGAGCTAGAGTAAACATTTGCATGATAATAAATTTGTATAGAAAGATTAGATAATTATAGTTAACCTTTTCCCTACAGTGCATGACTTTCTGGTTCCTTGAACTCAAATTCATTCCTTTCGACTGATTTTTTTTGAAAATTAAATTCCTGAGATTTTTAGATAGATAAAATTCCTTGATATTCACTTGTTATGTGAAAACAATGTAGAGCCTAATAGAGTAGAAAAAAGGAAAGTTTAACGGAAATGTATAAAATCTTTTTATTATTATTTTCTTTTTAATATGTTAAAGAAAGATAATGTTATAATAAACTTGCACATTCTTATAAGACTTTTACATAAGACTATACATAAGAAAGTTATTATTTATACATAAAAAAACAAGAATAAGCTTCGAACAATTAAAAAAAAAAAACAGGTTCTGTAACCTTTGACTGTAGCTGCATAATTTATTACAAAATTGCATCAGGAAAAATAAGAAATTACTTTATATTGTGGCAGATGAGCTAATCGAGGCATAGTTGTTAGACAACCCAAAATCCAGGCTAGTTCAGTGTGTTGTGGTATCTAAAATGAAAATAGATGGTTTCATATTGGTTTAGAAAAAACAAGCAAGTCTAATTAGGAATATCAATTTTGTAACAAAATTAACTTAATAACATAGAAGGTAAAGCCCAATTAAGTTAATTTAACTCTTACACATGCTTGCATTCATATTCTAGTGAAATATTTTAAAGGGAATTTTTCTGGAGAATATTATGCAAATATTAATTTAAAAAAAGTCTTATTTCTTAATGCTGATAAGGAAGTCTTTATTTTCAAGCTATATCTTTTCAGTTAATAATACGTTGAATGAGGCTTGGGGCAAATGACATGCCACTTTTTTAAAATATTTTAAAGAACATGCTTCAAGAACTTTATTGGTTAAAAAACAAAATGTGTAAGATTGCTTGAATACAAGATTTAGTTTAGAAACTAAGAGATTTCTGTACATCAAAAGAGAAAATTTTGGAAATTTATAAAGGTTTCTATTTGAAAACAATACCAAGGATTAGTTTGATGTAAAAATCTCACTTTAGAAAAAAGTGTAGCTTAGTAAAAGTCTTTCATTTTTAAGTAATATAAATATTAATTGAAAATAAATCAAAACACAAATTATGCAAAAGATTTGAATAACAAATATTTTCATGATCAAGGAAAATAGACCAATATTTTATGCATCTCTATTTTTTTCAAACATTAAAACGTTAAAATTTTTAAAGCCTAAATTTCAAATAACTTTGAAATCTTTTCTTTCCTTCTTCCTTAAATTTATGATGAATTTAGCCTTTTCCATTCCACGTTTTTTTTTTTTAAAGCAAGTTAAATTTCACAAAGTTTAGGTCATTATAAATAAAAAATAAAAGTAGATAAAAAAATAATTTTTGAAAAATTTGAGCATGCATTCTTAGAATATAGGATATTCTGAATACATACAAAAAATCAGGAGCGTCAGGACAAAAAACTAAAAATCAGGAAAAAATATTTTGTGTGAGGAAAGTCAGGACAACTATGAACTCTGCTTATAGTTCAAGGAGTTATTTAAAAATTATAGAAGTACTTTATGTATAGTAAAATATAAAATTAATTTTTCCACAGAGTAAGATGAGAAATCAGCAATAATTTAGTTTTACAGAAGAAGGTTAAGTGCACCAAGAATTAAATATTCTTTTTTACTGTTCTTAACTTAAATCTTCAATGCATAAATTTTGTCTTTTAATTTTTAAATCAACTTATGCGCCACTTTATCCCACTTAGTGGGAACCTTTTTATTTTTTAAAGCTTCCTTGATTGAATTTTAATTATAGTTAATCCACCACTACACATAAATCATTCAAGAATTCAAATAAAATACAACTTTGTTCAAGTTATATCAGGGTGAGGCTTTAAAAATAATATCCAAAAGCTGAATTGCTGCAAGTGTTAGCTATTAATTCTCTGCCTCTTTATAGAATCCTTTACCAAAATTAGAGCATTTGGCAATTACAATTAATAGAAAAACTCTCAAGTTGATATAAAAATTTGATTTGTTTTGGTCATTTTCCAAAAGAGGTTCTGCACTTAGAGTAAAATATATGCAAATTCATTGTTAACTAAATAATAAACAAAGAACAAAGTCAAAATCCACAAGAAGTTAATTCTAATCTTTGTTTTAATTGAGTTGGTCAAAATACTTGAAAATTCATTCTGATTTTTTAAATTATTCAAATAGTTTTCTCTTAAAATAGTTCCATCTTTATAAATTTATTTATTTTAAATTCTAAATGCTATGTTGTTTATCATTGCAAAGAAGAAAAAAAATTGAAGCACGGATGATCTGCCAGCAAATAATTGGGAGTTCACTGTATTTAGTATGTGAAAAGAACTACTAATAAATTGCACAATAGAAATAAGAATAAATATAACCAATTACAATAAATCAACAATAAAATGCCAATTAATAACAGCTTCTTAACCAACCAGCATTTGTAAAATTATTTTTCATGAGAAAAAATAAAAACGACTCACTTGTGATTGTAAGAATAATATGCATAAATCAGGGTTTATACCACATGCTAGCAGACAAGCAGTCATTAAATGGATGTTATATCTAGAAAGAAAAATTTCAGAAGAAAAAAAATATTTTAATGATTGTAAATAATTTTATAATAAATTTAGATATTAGTACTAATTCAAAGTTAGCACAAATGAATAATTAGACTTTAAAAAGTTATATTTTTGAAACTATTACACACATTAAAATAAATGATACATAAATTGAAAGAAAAATGTTTAATTTTTGTTTCAGTTACTAATGTTTGATGAGTTTTTCTTTTGTTACATGCTTAACATTTAATCTGTAATCAAGCTTGTTCCTTGCAGTTTCCTGTGGTCATAAATAACATGCTACGAGTATTGAAACTATTGTAGTTACAATTAATATTTCCTAGTTTGTGCTACTTTTTGAAAAAAGTAGTACAGTGAGCAAGGTGATACGAAAAAAATAAGAAAGTGACCCATTTTGTAATAACTTTTCGCAAATGATTTTAGTTTCAGGGTTGGAAAGTGTTTTACATATGAAGGTTTTTACCATCATGTCAAAAACCCTGTTGTCAAAAACCCAAAACTCTGGTGATATTGAATTTTTTATTTTATTTCAACTAATTAAACTTTTAAAAATAAGTGTATCTTAAAACATTAAAATTTTTAAAAATAAACAGAATAGATAGATATTTGCATACCCTCCAACTTATGAGGATTTTGAAAATAATTCTTTCTAGTCGTTGCGAACCAAAGTAGAAATTTTTAAAGCAAATGGATCTCTCATAAAACTTTTATCAGAACTTAAGAATCTAGCCATATGGCCTGCACTTTTATAAGTAATAGTGGACAAGTTACGCTAAAATTAATTTTTTTTAAATATTAAGACATTAATTTTGCTACGGTCAGAAAAGAAGATTTCTAAAAAACTACGGAAATTCCGTAGCAGTTGGAGGGTATGTATTTGTCAAAAAATAATTTAAGATTATTAATAAAAAAATAACAATGTATTTTTATGGTTAGGTAAAAAAAATCTCCAAAATAATTGTCATTTGTAAAGAAAATTTTGTTAAGTTAGTGTTTACTGTACCATAACAAAAAGAAAAAAAGTATTTTTTTGACAGCTTTTACCAGAAAAAACACAATTTGTTCCTCTGTTGTGTCAAAAACTCAACCCTGGTTTAGTAGAAAAACAAGGTTTAAGTACCAATAATTTTTCAAACCTGATAAATGGAGACTTATGCAAGTTCATCAGCAGATGCAATGGGGATTTCACTAATGAACTTTTTTCAATTTTTTCAGTTAAGTTTTAAGTTTAAGACACTTAACAAAATCATAAATAAATTTTGTTAATTAATTAAATAAATATTTTTAGCATATTTCGAAATAAGTATTCACTGTTAAAAAAGGTATACAAAGTGGAAAATTGAAAGAAATATGTTTTTAAAAAATAAATTTCATATTTTAAACCACTTTTTACATATTTATACTTTCAATATTCCACTATTTTTTTTAAACTTCAAAATGATCATCAATTAAAAGTAGTCAAATCTCCTTAAAGTAGTTAAATCGTGATTATGTTTCAAAAATAGTTTGTAAACACTAGATTTTTAAAAAAATAGTTGTATTTAACATTTGTATTAAAGCAGTTATGACTATAGAAAATATATAGTTTTTCTAACCACTGGTAATTTTATATTGCCAGCAGTTTTGAATGATTCACACATGCATTTTAAACTTGTCTTTTTGGAGTCAGGCATTTATAAACAGTGCCTTTGACATTACTCAATGAAAAGAAATTACATAGAGAGATGTCCGGGCATTTTGGTGGCTACAGAGATGCCAACTACTGTGGACACGCCAAAATAATTAAAAAAACGGCAAATAACTACAAAGTAAATTGTGCAAATATTTGACTATTTTTGCTTGCTTTTTAAGAGGTATAGCATGACATAAGTACTGTTAAATCGTGAATTATATAAACCTGCAAATTATTTAGAAATAGTGGTGGTTAAAATCTACTGAATTGAATTTATTAAACCAAGAATCAAAATTGATATGCTACCACTTCCAAACCTCTTTGACCTCATAACTTACATGACCTGCACCTACAAGGCATCGTTTATGAATCACCACAAGCTGAAACATTACAAGAATTTAATAAACATATTTGTGTTGCATTAGAAAATCATTGGTTTTGAGGGACTTCAAAATGGGAGGAATAAACTTGATTTTAGATTAGACATTGGACAAAATGGATGTAACAAAATTATGCATTAGATGTAACAAATGCAATGCTGGATGTAACAAAATTATGCATTAGATGTAACAAATGCAATGTTGGATGTGACAAAATTATGCATACTGAACATTTGCAATTGCAAAAACATTTGCCAGATCTCTTCTTTAATTTTCTGTATCATTTATCGTATATGTGTAATGGTTCCAAAAAATATTAATAATTTTTTAAAGTAGGTCATTCATTTATGCTAATTTCAAGGGCGGCGCCAGTAGGGGGTCAGGGGGGGCTGGAGCACCCCCGTCGGGCATGGCCAGCTCCNTTGGCTAATTTAGATATGCAAAACAAAACTTCTAATGCTTGTCTGCCAGCAAGTAAAATGATATCAAATTTGATAGTAAAAACTGAAATGAATTTATGATTAAGTATAATTTGTTTTTGTACACTTTGTGTTATTTAACTAAACGTGAAAATGAGTAGAAACATTTTTTTTATAAAATCATAAATAGTATTAATTTCACTATACTATTTAAATGTTTCTATATTTCATCATAGGTAAACGTAAAAAAGGTATAACTATGATAAAAATTTATCTTAATTCTATTTAAAAACATCTTAAAGATAAATTGGAAAAATTTTATTACTGATTAAATATTAGGATCAAATTATAGACAAGATAAAAATTATTAAATTTGCAAACAACAAAGAAGAAAACTCCACTGACTTAATGGAATACTTTCTGATTTTTAAAAATAAAACATAGGTATGAGTATGAAAAAAAACAAAACAAAAAACATACTGTATATGTTAGTGTACAAGTCAACTTTTCAAACTCCCAAAATTTTACGAAAATCAGGAGGTCGACTTATTTATACATCCGTAATAAAATGGGAATTTGTTGATTGTAAAAATATACGTGCATTTTAAATAATGATAAACATGAAGTGTCAATTTACCCCTTTACTAAACAATTTTTGATACGTTAAATACAATTAATTTTGCACTTTTTTACTAATATTTTCTTTATATATAAAAGTTTATTTTTAGGAATAATACTTTAATTTACATTCAGAAAAAAAAATTAAGAATAAGAAAAGTGAAGATATCAAGTGAAGAATATTTTTAAAAAAATAATAACACAGTGAAAACTTTTAAAGCACAATATTAAGTTACAAATTTAAAGATTCCAGAATATCATCTGCATCGGATTCAATAATGTTAGCATCATAAACATTACACAATTTTCACTTATTAGACTAGAATCAACTTACACAAGGGATTGACTTATACACCAAGTGGTACTTTTTAGAATTTTAAAAATAAGAATACATGTTTCACAAAAAAGAATAAGACCAATGAAATTAAAATGTAGAAATTTTGCACAAACTTTAATTGAAGTGGATCTTGAGGTAATGTTATCGAATGTAGATCTACTATGCTGAAAATGCAGTTCTTTCCTTCATTTTGAAGATCAGACCATTTCTTAATGGCACCAAAGTAATTTCCTAAATGTGGAACTCCTGTTGGCTGAATTCCAGAAAAAATAGTCTGTTTATGCCTCACATGAACCTTTAAGAAATAAAGATCAATTAAAAAAGAAACATGAATATACACAAATTCAATAAAAATTGATGAAAATAAGGTGGCTAAGTTCGAGGAAAAATTAAACGACAAGAAATTTCTGAAGTGAAATTGAAATTTTTAAATTAAAAATTACCAATTTTTCATGAATTAAATTAGGTCAATTTCAAATATAATTTTTAAAAAAATATCATATATGTATTTATGCACTTAATATAAAATTAGAAGTAATATAAAATTTTTTATATGTATAACTCACATTCTGCATACATATTTTCCTTTATATATATATATATATATATATATATATATATGTATA